GAATTCTACAGCTTTTTACACAGTTACAACTAGATGTAGACAAGACCACACTGAGTTCTCTCCCAGTCTTCTGCTGCCTTGCAAATTTCTTTTTTTTTTTGTCTTCTATGCTTAAAATTCCCTAGAAGACTTGCATTTGATGGGCTCTATGGCAGCCCACCCCTCCTTAGGCAGTGCTGTCAAGCAAGGCACAGAGGCACAAGCACCCAGCCTCCAGCAGCCCTTTCTTGCTGGCTGCTGCAGTGCTCTATAATTAAATGTTCAGCTATTGTAAGCATACTCGAGCTTGCTGTAACTTCCCTTTGTTTCAGTCTAGGGACTGGAAATGACTTCTGTGGGCCAAACCTTTTACTTTTGTAGTTTGATTGAAACCAGTCATTTATTGTGGTAAAATCATCAGACTTTCTGCAGTGTTTACAGATAAGCTTTCTGTGACAGTCCTTTAGTCTACCCAACAACCCATATATTAAAGATATTTCACATTTTCCCTTTCTATGTTCAGACAAATCAGCTGCTGATTTCAGTTTGATTACATGTCAGTTTATAGAGATCCTATGAGTTCACTCCTAACTTCTGCTTGGAGCAAGAACACTTTTTGCTGTGGCTGTGCTAGTGTTTTTTTTGGGCTGTTGCAAATTACTGGCGTAAAACTCATTAATAAAGTGAACTAAATACCTTTATGTGTACTTTATTATGAATCCCTTTTTCTTATCACTGCATAAAAGCAAATACCACCGCTTCATGAGGTTTTGCAAATATTAGTGGTTTGGAACCTACTGATATTTGCTTTATCAGTTATTCACAAAGTATTAGCTAGAGTTCATTTACAGAAATAGAAATATTTTGTTTATTTCCAAGTTTTCCTAGTAACTAAGTATCTGAAGTCTGTGAGTGCTTATGAAAGGAACCAAAAAACTTTAGAAGAAAATTGGTATGGAATTCCTCTGAGCACTCCCCTATAGTGAGATGGTTGTTATGTGTCAGGGGTTAACTGAGTCATTTCTGGGATGGGTAATCTGGGTTGAGGGCATTTGGGTGATTTTATGTCCTAAGAAATTGAAATGGAAGTTTTTTTATGTTACTTATTTAAAATTGGATGACAGTTAACAATTGATAAGAGTCTTGCTCTGACCTAGAAGTAAAAAAATGTGCAAGGAGAATTCAATGAATAGAGATCTTTTGGAACTGTTTTGCTCATTTTGGTGAGCTTTGTGCAGGATATTACCTATTATCACACCCTCTGCCATCTAGGGTTTGTGCTCCCTTTAAAGAGAGTGCATTCAAAAGACTTTATACCTTTTCAGACTTTCTTCTATAAAAGAAACAGGTAGTAGTTCAGATTTTGACATTTCAGAACTCTATCCTTTATTATTCAAATAATTCCAAATGATTTGTAGGAGTATCAGTCTTTGTACCTCAAGGCAGCCAGATAATGTGTGGCTCTGAGGATTATGGGTCTGACTCTTTTGCCTGAGCAATCAAGACTTCTGCTTTTAGACTACATGCCATCTTCAGGTTTACCTGGATTAGACTCGCTTAAATCCATCGTTTAAATTCTGTAAATTATGACTCTATGCAGACTTTTTAAGATCATGTGTTGTATGGCACGGAGACACTGAGGCTCCAGGGTGTTAATGGTACTTTATGAGCAAGTTGACTTTTTGGATCAGTTTCTTTGACCTTCACACAGCATTTTCTTTAGCAGCATGTTTGGTAGGTACCAAACTGTGACACAGTGCTTCTGCTGGTAGGGCTGGTCTTGAGGGTTCTAAGTTTGAGAACACTTAGAGAAAGCAAGATGGGAGGAAGAGACTACCTTGCTATCATATGATTTCCAGCCTCAAGAACACAAAATTGTGTCTGCTTTCAGGACAGATATGTTGTAGATACTTGCATGAGGATTTTTTTAGTTTTACTCTTTCAGCTAATATAGATTTACATTTTTCTGAGGGGATGACTGTGGAGATGTGTGTCACTAGGGGCTGGTTACATTTCAGCAGTAAGCAGCATGGATTTTGTTGGAATGACTCAAATGTGTATGTAAATATATGTAAAACTGTGCTGATCAAAGCAGGATCTGCCACAAAATGTAATGACATAAAGATTGGCTTTGCATAACTCATACCACTGTAGTGATAATGTGGCATTTGACTACTTGTGCCCTGTGTTCTTCTTATTTGCCCTCATGATTTCTTTAATTTTTCAGGTTTTTTTTGACTGTGTGGTTTTGTTCATTTGTTTTGGGGTTTTTTTGGAAGGTGAATAGGTGCTGTTGTTCATGATTTTGAATTTTTTGAGCTGCTTGTCCCTTTGTTTTTTGAAATACTGCTTTTGCTCTGGTGCCAGGTTAGACTGAATAAGCTGTAGAAAAATCCAACCTAACAGCTGTACTGAGAACTAAAATACTATTGAATTGTTCAAGTTCTTTAAACAGTTGTTTTTTTGTTTTTTTGGGTTTTTTTTTTGCTTTAAATGCATCTCATTGGTGCTACAAATAAAATTGAATTAGTTGTAATTTACCACCTCTGCCCTATGGTAGAATGAGCTAAAAAGCTTTACATAATCAAGTAATTTGGAATTTAACTAACTTGTTTATTTAAACAGAGTGCATTTTTCAAAGAAATCCATAGTCTACTTTGTAAATTCTTTTCAGATCTTTTTATTTTTATTGACTTTGATTAGCCAGCTAATTTGTTCTAAATCGATAAGTGTGATTCTGATAGCTCATTTTGAACCCTTAGCATGGAAGACTGAAACAAAGAAGGGATTAGTGAAGTGTTTTGTTGACATTCCAATCTATTTTAAGTGAATGCAAGCTTTCTAATAAATATTTAATAGATAGTTGTTTGTGGTTTAATAGAATTAGATAATTCTATTAGAATCCTGTTTGGAGATTTACATGTACCATACATCACTGCCGAGGACACGGTTAATAATTTAGGTTAAGTGACTAGTAATTAGAAACACAGTCAGAGTAAGCAGGGATGTTTTTTCTGTCATCCAAGGAATTAGGTAGGTGTTTGCTATGCAACTGCAACTCAATTCTTAGGTGCTCTTTTCTGCAGAAGAACTCATTTGGCAAGTTTGGGACAAGCCTCAAATGTGATAGCAAAGCATGAGGTCCCTGGGTTTATTTAATATCTTATCCTCTGAGTTAATGAGTTGGAAAATAGTTCACTGTTTATTCACAGTAGATTGAGCAGATGTTGCCAGTTCAATTTTATGGAATGTAATATCTGAGGGATTGTCTTCTGCCCATTGCTTTTTCATGGTTTGAATCTCAGCTTCAAGAGAACACTTCCCACACTTGTCATGGAGTTGTCAAAAGATCAGAGCAGCAGAACTTGGTAAAAGCTGGTTAGTATGGGGAGGCTTTGTGAAGAGAGTCTTTGGAAATTTTTATGACAAAAATTTTCATTTTTATGCATGAAATTTAAGTTGTAAACTAAATGGCAAGGAAAAAGATGAGCATCTGAGAAAACACTGAGGAAAGATAAATATTAAATTCCGCCATTTACATCAGCTTAGGTTTTCAGGTGAAGCTTTGGAAATGGTTGTACAGGAATCTCTATGGACCCTTAATTTGGGGTTAGTACAAACAGCTGTTCACAGCTGCACCAGGAGACTGCTTGTTGTTTAGACCTGATCTCAGTGAGTGAGGTTTGCAGGAAAGATGTTCTCATCTCCTGCAGCAGTCCTGGAATGTGAAGACAATTGGAATGCCAGCTGAGTGAAGGGACCATGCCCAGCAAGCTCTTGATCCAAGCCATTCCCTGGTCAGTGAGATGAGGAGGCTGTTACTCATCTGCACTGTGCAGGAGGTGAGTTCTTGATCTGCCCTCTGGTTACTTACATTGGAATATCACCTTTCTGCATCCCCTTGGCTACAGAGCAGTCAGCTACTGTCTATCCAAGTAGTGTGGGAGATGCTGCCCATATTCCCTGAGGCATTTGTTCTCACATTCACGTGTGTCTGTGAATCCTGGAGAGCCAGAACTGATGTTTTCAAGTGGACCCAGCATTTCAGCTCCAATGCTGTTTACTTCATTCAGTGTACCTTTTAAATGGTGCAGAGCAGCAGGAGCACTGTTGTGCTTGTTCAGAGTTTAGTCTGTAAAGCCTGGGTTACTTTAAGATTCACTTTTGTAAGCAGGAGAGTTCAAGAGGCAATAGTACTGCAGGGTCAGCTTGCTGCCACTTCCCTTTTGTTCTCACCAGCTGTAAGATGTGTGTTACATACCTGATAAACATAATTTGCAGAATTCTTCTTTGAAGAACATTGATTTTATGAGACTGTGTAGTTAGGATTGTAGAGAAAGAGTTTGATAAAGGCTAAAAAGTCATCCCTCCAAAAATGTCATTCTTCCAAAATTCAGTTTTCTTTTTAATTGAAGGTGAGTTAGTTGATGAGTGTGACTAAGTGTGGAGATCTGATGAGTATTATGTCATTGTTCACAATGTGTCAGGAAGTTCACAGTAGTGTGTCAAAGGTGATATCTCAGTCAATACTGAGTATTTACTAATAGTAAAACTGGCTTGAACAGAAGCTAGGCTCTACTCTGGATACTGCTAAGCTCAGAACTGGACCTCTTGGGATTTGAAGATGATTTAATTCTTGACAATTGAAGAGTCAGTTCTATGGAATTCCTGCCATTCCTTGGGTTAAATCTGCTGAAGCTGAGGCCTAATCTGGCCTTTAATTTTAGTGTATGCATGTGTGTATGCATGTGTGTAAGAAAACCTTCCTAAAGTGCTCTGGGCAGGTTCTGAGGCATCGCTGCTGATGCTGAACTCCCTCTGTACAGCAAGGTTAATAGGTACTGCACTGGCATGAAAGATAGGATTAAAACCCTTCTTTTGAGATGCTTTTTCTTAAGGTTCTCTTAGATTTTTTCTAGTCCTGGCATAGATAAAAGAATAGCTTCACCCTGGTTCCTGTGCTCATCTGAAGTTTGCTCTGTTCCAGTTGTACCTCTTATGAGGTAGTGATACATATTGTGCACTCTGGAGAGCATTTCCATTACTGTGAGCTGTTAGTTCCACTCAATAGTCACTCCTTGGAAACAATGGTTTGATGGGCTGGGACATGGATTGTTATATTAAGCAAGAAAATAACTTGAACTGCTCCTGTAATTACTCTGCATGCAGTCAGTCTCGGGATTTCTGGCAAGCTCATCTTCATTTCTACATATATAATGTTACGGTACTTAGCATTTCTGTAACATGGCATTACACCTTCAAATTGTTTCCTAGTTATTAACTAATTAATCTCATAACACCCCTGTAAGGTATATCTGTTTGTTTCTGCTTGGGTGACTGTGTGGAGGATAATAATATGTGGCTTGAATATTAACAGACATAAAGTAGTGTATTGCATTTATAGTTGGTGCTTTGTTTTCAGGCCTTATTTTGGTTTAACCCTGGCTGGCAGCCACTCACTTGCTTCCTCTCAGCAGGATGGAAGAGAGAGCCAGAAAGGTAAGAGTGAGAGAATTTGTCAGTTGAGATGAAGACAGTTTAACAGACAAAGCAAAACTGAACAAACTAAAAAGTAAAATAGAGAATTAATTCTCTGCTTCCCATGGGGAGGCAGGTGTTCAGCCATCTCCAGGAGATCAGGGCTCTGTCTCATGGAAAGGTGATATGAAGGCAAGTGCCACAAAATTCAATGTCATTCCCCTTCCTTCTCTCCCCTGGCTTTTGTTGCTGGGTGTGATGCTTTGTGGTGTGGATATCCCTGTGCTCAGCTGGGGTCAGCAGTCCTGGCTGTGCCCCCTCCCAAGCTCCTGTGCACCCTGAGCTGGCTCCCTGGGGCAGTGTGGAAAGGGAGGAGGCTCTGTGTGAGCACAGCTCCACAGCAGGTAAAATATCCCTCTGTCAATGCTCTTCACAGCACAAATCCAAAACACAGCACCATAAGAGCTATTGTAAAGAAAGTTAACTCTTTCCTCACCAAAACCAGTACAGACTTGGAATTCAGTTACATGTTTTCTTCCTCCCAGCATCTTTGCCTCTGATATGCAATATTGACTTGTCTGTGCCTAAAGGCTGAACAGAAATGTGCTGTTAAACAAGTGGGTAGTCCTGCAGGACTCAGACTGCCACAGCTGTGAAAGGAAATATTTTTCAAGAAAATAGAACTCTTACAAAATCTCCTTCTTCCTCAAAGGAAGAAAAACAAAACAAAAAACAAAAGCCAAACCAAACTGAAACCTAACCAATTGAAACTAAAAAAAATTCCCCCAAAAAAACTAAACTAACAACTCCACCTTCCCAAACTACAACATACTCAGTCTTTGGATGTAGAAAGTACTTTATTTTGTGGGTGTGACAAGTTCCTCTGTTTGTTTAGCAGTAATCTTACTTGATGTTTCCCTGACCTCACTCCTAAAATCAGATGGTAATTCTTCAGCTTTGTCCAATTTAGGTATTTTCAAAATCTGATTCTTTGCCTTCTGTGTGTTTGTACAGTGCCTTGTGCAGAATAAGGATAATTTTAGATAGGTATTTGGATTGTTGTTATAAGAACCTGACTGAAACTTGTGTGGGTTTTTTTTTTTCTTTTTTAGGGTTTGTATGAAGCAGCACCATTTATCCTGTCACTGAAAGAAGGAAACAGAGGCACTTGGCGAAACTATAAAGAATTGTATATCAACCATGGAGGACAAACAGGGAAGAGGAAGAGTAGGGTGCCCTGGAAGCTGTGTTGATTATCAAAGAATACCTGTTTTGGCAGATAAGCTGCAAGTGGAGCTTGGAGTTACCAAGGAATAGTTTGAGTCATGACAAGCATCATTAGACAGTTCTCTCCAAGGTTTTGGCTAGGTCACTGACTAACTGTGAATTTGGGTCAAGGACCTGACTGGGTAAAGCAGCCTCATTTATCATCTGCCATGGCTGAGATAACAGCCATCAGTTCATTTGACTAGCTGAGGAGGGAACAACTTATTTTGGTTTAGTAATGATTTGAGAGCCTTATCAATAAAATTACCAACACTCTTCAGTGCTGTAATCTGTCCATGTGTCCGTGGCCAGCATGATTTCTTGGCAGCAGAGAGAAGGGGGAACCAAGTGGACAAGCTGGTTGTGTTTCCTCTCATTTCCTCTGAGATTGCACCTTGGAATCTCAGGACTAATTCACCAAGGTTATCCATGATGGGATTCTCTTATTCTACAAAGCAGTTCTATCTTGTTGCACAGAAATAGTTGAAACCTATATAAGGCCGGAATATTCTCTAGTTTTGTGCAGAAATTGTTCCTAGAATTGTTCCTAGAAATTGTTCATAGAGCACTGATTGTGCTCTTCTTCCTTATTTTGTTTAATTATGAACAAAGTAGCTTCCTTTGAACTATCCCCAGTTCATGTTGACAGAGGCAAGGATTTGCTTAGGCCGGATCAGCAGGGCAGGTTGTTTTGCTAACACAGTTGTGGAACTCTCAAGCCAGGTAACATCTGGCCACCTTGGAGGGCAGGCAGAGCAGATTTGCATTTCCTTGTGTGTAATTTGCCATTGTAGCCTGCCTGCAGCCCTGTTGAGCTGCAAATGCAGACAGAGAAACACTTGGGTTGATTTGAGCTAATTGAGTTGATCAAGTGTTGACGATTAGCTCAATTTGCACAGTCCCACTTGTCTTGGAGCAGCAGCAGAGCTGGCAAATGAATTACCTCATCACAGCTCTTGTCACCTATAGACAGTAGAGGAATGCATTGTTTCTGTAGTGTGAGAATGATTGACAGGCTTTGGAAAAAAGTTGGTTACTTGCAACATTTGACTGATCCTGAGAGGTGATTTAATTTTTACTCACTGCAGAGAGTTTTGTCTTCTGTAGGCTGCTACTGCCCCAGATGTGGAATTCAAATAACAATAGCTGAGTAGCTACTGCACACTGGCATGTGTTTGTATTTCAACCTATGTTAATTTGAAATTTTCATCTATGTTAATTCTATATCAATGCATTTTTTTCATTCATGCCCCACTTGCCACTCTCCAAATAAACAAGTAAAAATAACTTCATATTTGCAGTGTGATTTTTGTTCCTCTCAGCTGATACACAGTAAGGAAGTGAGAAGCACTTCACAGATGTTATAAGGTGTTGGGAGAGCTGAGACAAAGAAGGGTTAAGTGTTTTGCTGGGGGGTTTCCCTTCAACCATTCATTTACCCACAGAGACTACTGTGTTCCTATGTCTGTCTTCACACATACAAATTCTTCCTAACATAGTTATAGGTAACTAAAAGGACCAAAATTTAAATGTCATTAATATAATTTTGAATTTAAATTACTATTTGTCTTTGTGAAAAATGAGACTCACTCTCCTGGTAAAATTTAAAAGGTTTAATAAGGACAATAAGGGACACAGAAAATAAAGCAAAGAGTAACAGCAGGATGCCTTGGTGCTCTGCCAAGAGCACACCTGGTGTCTCAGGAACACCCTTATAAACCATTTCTACTGCATGGACTTTATGCATATTCAAACTTTTCCAGGAACTGTTTTGCATGGCCACTCCTTGGGTCTGCCTTTTTAGAGCATGCATGTTTCTTGCCTTTGTGGTTTTAATTCCTTTCTTATCATCCTCTGATTTGGGCTTTGGCTCCTTTTCCCACAGGAAACATGTTTTCTTCCTCCCAGCATCTTTGCCTCTGATATGCAATATTGACTTGTCTGTTTTTACTTGATTAGCATTGGAGAAAGGGAGGTTTTCTAAACTCTAGTAGGTCAAACCCAGCAATGACTCATAATCCAGAGAAATTTTCTTCCACAACTCCTGCTTGTTAGCTGTGTTGCATTCATCTGAAAAGAATGCTGCAAGTGTTTGCCTGTACCCAGTGCAGGGCCTTGGGCTGCCCTAGAGCAAGCAGGTGCTCACTGTATCCTCTTCTCCCTTGCCTAACTTGATATTAAAAGAGCTTGGGATGCAGCTGTAGGAGTGCAGAAACACATACTCTCAAGTGACTATTTTTTGTCTTGGTCTTTTTCATGTGGATTATGGCTGCTGATGTCAAAACAAGCTTGAATCCAATATTTGGAACTTGAGGGTTGTCCTGCAGTCAGCACCAATGGAACAAGGATTCTTTTCCCAAGGCACCTTTGAACCCTCTTCCCTGAGGATTCATAGCAAGTGTTTCAAGTCATCATTGCTGCATACACCCTAAGGTTTGGTCTATATAAAACTGAAGTGATATTTTAGCTTATAGCTATAAATGGAGCAGATAGTGAAATAACTTTTAAAAAAATTAAGTAAAATTACTTGGTAAATTCTGGTAATGTGCACAAGACATTTTGTGCTCTGCATTCATGATGGAAAGTGCTTTGATGCCTTGATGTATAATTTTTCCATGTAGTGGTATTTTAGGGAGGGAACAAAGCTTGCATGTACATGGGAATAAATGTTGTCTTTATGCAGATAAGTCCCTTTTCTTGGTAAAAGCTGAAATTTTTAAAGAAGAGTTCTAGAACTCAGCTTCCATGATCTGCAGTTTAAAATTTGGACCCAAAAAATTGCTTTCAGTGAAAACTGTCTGTCAGAAAAGCAAAACAGTTTGTCAAGTAACCTGTTTCACATATTCCTTTATAACAAGGAAAAATAAAAGCTTTCTCTCCCTTTTCTCCAAATGCTTCTACAGAAAATAAAAATATTTTGAAGTCTCATGAGAACTGACATTTTGTTGATTCATATCTCCCTTCTGCTAACTGCTTTTCCCATGTTGCAAATATTTAAACACCTTTTGCATTGTGGGAGAAATAGTCTGTACATTTTAATTTGTCAGCTAAATATTTTGCTTCTTCCCCAGTTATCCACCTCCAAAAAGGATAAAAATGCCCAGAATATTAATTCTCTATTGTCTGCTGCTGCTTTTCCTCTTCTGTCTCTGATCTCTAAACAGTTCTACTTCAACATTTGTAGGTAGTACACTTCCTTAATCTTTTCAAGTTCATTGCATCTGGAAAACATTTTTCTTATTTCTTTCACTTTTTGCATTTCACAGCATTCAGTGCAAAGGCAGTGCAGCCATTTATTTCTCCTTTATGTCAGTGAGCCCTCTGTGGGTTTCTCTACATATCTTTGATATGCTGGCTTGGGAGACAAATATTTAGAAAAAAATGGAAAACAGTGATTTTGAAAATGAGGAACCCTTATCAGGAGGACTCAAGGGTGAATGTAGTACAGAAAAGCACCTCTAATTCTACTTTAAAAAACAATTGAATAAATAAAAAATGTCCAGCCAACCAAACTCTGGTAAAATTACAAATTGTCTCTGTCCTTTTAAAGCAAATATAAACTCCCTCTGAAAGGAGCAGATGGCTTTGCTTTGTATGGAGATTTTGTTTTCTTACTCGTATGTGCAGCTGTTTCTCAAAAGATGTGGTTTCTTTTAATGAAGCAGTACTTCAGAGGCAGAGTGAGATGTAGTGCATATGAAAGTTTGGGGGAATTAATTATTTGCAATTTATGTATGTGCCTGTTGGATATTTGCATCCAGATGTTTCTCCAGGAAGAGTCAACCCCAAGCTGAACCACAGCTTTTCAGCAGCTCCATGGTGCTGTTCCACACGAAGAGGAGAGGGACAGCAGTGCTCACTCTGGGAAGATGAGGGAAGCCTCAGAGGTTGGCCTTGCCTGCTGGACTGCTGCAGGGAGTGTGAGGAGTGATGTCCCAATGTCACTGGTGTCCCAATGACCCCTCTCCACGCTGTAACTCTCAAGGGGCAGCACTGGTGAAAATCCTCTGGGGTCCTGGCTCAGGAGCAGGATTTGGGGTGTTATTTCTGGTGCTCTTTGGCCCCAGGGAAGATGGTTACTTTGCCTTCTTGAACAGCCAGGTTCTGGCAGCCAGTGCTATGCTGGAAGTGAACAAGTGTGCTGATGAGTTGGGATACAGCTCAGATTGGTGTGAGGAAGCTGAGAGTACATTTTCCTCTGGATTGAGCTCTGCTGCAGGGCTTTGTGCCTGCAGATCACCCCAGCTGTCCTGCTCTTCTGACATACAGCTGCTCACATCTGTGCAGGAATAACTGAGTAAGACTTTCCAAACAGGCAGAAAGGTTTGCACAGACCATATGATGGTCATCTCTTTCTGAGGGCCTTTTGTGGGAAATGCTGTATTGCTTTCTTGTGGTGCCCACACAGCACTCCAGAGAGCCCCAGGCACAAAGCCCTTCCACACAAGAGGAAAAAAGTACCATTTTTTTTGTTTATTAAATAAACACTGATCTTTAGGAATAGTGTTTATTATGAAATAACCACAAAATATTTCACTTAAATTCGATCTTTTTATGCCTTAGAGGTGGCAATCTCTTTTCAATTTTTTTTTTTTGTTAATGTGGAACAAACTTATGTTAATGTGGAACGAGCAAACAAGGCTCTAACAGCATGGGACTGTCTGCTCTGGGGGGAGCACTCTCTTGCATTATGCCTGTGCCCAGTCAATACTCTATTATTGCATGTTAAGTGGTTTGCTACAGTATCCTGTGTGCAGGGTATTAGAAAGGATCTTATCTAATTTCCTAAGCAATAATGGTATAAACAGTATGCATTTTTTATTATTAAAAAACAAACTGTTGCCTCCGCTGAGTTAATGTTTCTTTTATATCCAGTTAGGACCCAGGAGACTGACTCATAAATCATAGCAAAATTAAATGGAAAGTGCAGTTTTGGAAAACTAGAATTTATTATAGATCCAGAGTCTTTGACTCTACCAGCAGATAAACTTTAACTTGCTTAATAGTATTTTTATTTGACTGCTGTGCTCTTCAATGATTTCAGTTGATTAGAAAGAAGTCCAACCCCAAACCTTACTAACCTTTAGCAAATAGGAACATTAAGATGGAGTGAGAGGAAAATAAACTACATATTCTTATATTGGAGTTTTCTGATGCTTTGAATGTTGCATCAATTTCTACTCGGCTGCCCATAAAAAAACCCCATTTTGATAGGTTTCTCATACTATATAGTAGGATCTTTGCTTATGGGAGTAGTGTGTATTACTTTGAAATTCATAT